GCAGTGACATATTCAGAGTGCGGAAAGAAAATACTGTCAACCTCGAATTCTATTTCCAGCAAAACTCTTTCAAAAATAAAGGTGAAATAGCAACTTTGTCATATAAACAAAGACCGAGAGAATTCATTGCAAACAGTACCTACTTTACAGGTGGTATTAAAAGAAACGTGATAACTTGGATCCACAGGAACAGTGAAGAGCATTGGAAACACTCTAGTAAATACAAAACATATATTCTCTTAATTAAAAAAAAAACATCACTTAAGCAATAATTATAGCATTGTATTGTTGAGTTTATAACATATGTAACATATATATGACGTGATAATATTGTACAAGGGAAGAGGGGAGGGAGTGGGGCTATACTGTGTAAAATTGCTAGATTGTACCAGAATTAATCTTAGTAGATTGTAAGTTAAAGATACAGATTGTAATATCCGAGGATTGCTGGGGAGAAATAATTTTTAAAAGCAATTGTTTATTTAAGAACCTCCATTTTCTCAGGTATTTTTGTAGATGCTAGGTATTTAAATATGTCCAAGAAAGGGATTTTTCTTCGTTTATCACTACCATTTTTGGTGGTCCAGTATTTTATGTATATATTCTTTATACTATTTGAAGAGGCTATGAATATCATTTCTTTCTCAAGTAATACATGTAAGAGTTGTAAAATGATAGTATTCAAAGTAAGTGGCATGGTTTTATCATTTTCCTATGCAAGATTAACAACAGATGTATTACATATTCGTTATGTGTTGTTGCTTCCAGTCTTTATTGGAGCAAGAAAGAAGAATGTGACTTAAAACAAAGTAGACAAAAATTGGGGCTGGCCCCATGAACTAGTGGTTAAGTTCAGCACACTCCACTTGGGTGGCCCAGGTTTGCTTCTCGGGCGCGGACCTAAACCACTCGTTGGCGGCCGTGCTGTGGCGGGGGGACACATACGAAATAGAGGAAGATTGGCACAGGTGTTAGCTCAGGGCGAATCTTCCTCAGCAAAAAGAGGAAGATTGGCAACAGATGTTAGCTCAGGGCAAATCTTCCTCAGGAAAAAAAAAAAAGACAAAAATGAATGTTTGATTGTGTTGTCTTTCTCAGTTGGAGGTTGTGATGCTAAGCAAATTTATATTTAAATTTAATGTTTAGTATACATATGTAATCTATTAGATAAAACAGTTCTATTATTAAAAAATGCCATAGTGGGATTTTTATTTGTGTTGATACATTTGAGCTCCTAATAAGTTTAGATTGCCAGACTAAAACTTGTAGGAAATATAAAGATTTATTAATGAATCTCATTATCTTATCACACTCCTCATTCACCTTTCCCATTCTCTCCCCCCCCCTCCCATTTCCACACACACAGAGGAGGCTAAAACATCTCATACTTCTTAATTTTGACAACCAAGCAGGAAATCATGGGAAATATGGGATATATCCATCTGGATATCTTTTTATGAGTATGTGAGTTATTTGTATATGTATTTTTGTGTTTTTGATTTGGGAATTTTCTTTCGTAAATGAGATTTTACCATACATATTGTTCTGATATATATTCATTTTTTCTCAGCGTTTCATGATATCCTTTATGTCAGTGAATTTAGATAAATCTTTTTTTTTTAATGACCAAATATTCCATAGTGTGGGGGGGTACTGTAATTATTTGCCCATTACTCTGTTGAAGGATATTTAGGTTGTTTCTAGTTTTTCACAAGCTATTATAATTAACATTATTGTACATATATCTTTGTGCATTTATATGAATGTTTTTGTAGCATAGATATAAAGATTATAGATTTAATTAATTCAAAGTTTCTGAATTTTAAATATAATATATTCTGCCTTTTTGCCTTCTAAAAATGTTTTAAAAATTTATACCACTGCCTGTGGCATATCCCGAACTCTTGCCAACACTGCATCTTATCAGTATTTTATATTTTTTGCCAATTTAATAGGTTAACAGTGATAACTTGTTTTAATTTTTATTTTCCTAGTCACTAGTGAGATTGAACATCTTTTAATAGAATTATTAGCTGTTCATATTTCTTATTCTTTAAAATATGTGTTAGTTTTGCTCATTTATTAGTTTTAGTTTTTTTTTATTGTGGTAAAACATACATAACAAAATCTACCATTTTAACCATTTAAAAAATTAAAATTAAAGTACATTCACATTTTTGTGCAACTGTAACTGCTGTCCATCTCCAGAACTTTTTCATCATCCCATATTGAAATTCTGTTCCCGTTAAACAATAACTCCTGATTCCTTCCTCTCCCAGGCACTGGCAGCAACCATTGTACTTTCTGTCTCTATGATTGACTGTTCTACGTATCTCATATAAGTGGAATCATACAATGTTTATACTTTTGTGACTGGCTTATTTCACTTAACATAATGTCTTCAAGGTTTATCTATGCTGTAGCATGTATCAGAATTTCTTTTCTTTTTAAGGCTGGGTAATATTTCATTTTATGTATACACCACATTTTGTTTATCCATTCATCTTTTGATAGACATTTGGGTGTTTCCACCTTTTGGCTATTGTGGATAATGCTGCTGTGGACATGGGTGTTCAAATATCTCTTTGAGTCCCTGCTTTTAATTCTTTCAAGTATATACCCAGATGTGGAATTGCTAGTTAAATTTTTGAAGAACCACTGTACTGTTTTCCATAGGCTATCTTGTTTTACATTCCCACCAGTCATGCTCAAGGCTTCTAATTTCTCCATATCCTTGCCGGCACTTGTTTTCTGTTTGTTTTGTTTTTTATAGTAGCCATCCTAATGGGTGTGAATTGGTATCTCATTGTGGTTTTGACTTACATTTCCCTAATAATTAGCGATGTTGACCACATCTTTTCATGTGCTTATTTGCCATTTGTGTGTCTTCTTTGGAGTAAAGTCTGTTCAAGTCCTTTGTCCACTTTAAAATCTGGTTGCTTGTTTTTTTGTTGTTGTTTTTTGCTAATTTTTTAAAGCCCTTACTTAATGTTTGTTTACTTGATGAAGGTATGGTCTCAGGGTGGAAAGATCTGGTATGGAGAGTAAATCAATGACTTATATTGATCTTTTAAAGGTAATAGTAATAAGAAGAAAAATACATTAGAATTCAGAGAAGAGAACATACTTAACAGGGGTGATGGTAGTATTTGAGGTAAATCTTCAAAAAAATAATTCATCAAGATTTGGATATTTAGTGGTGGCAATAGAATGGGAGGGGGACATTCCAGGTAGAGGAAACAAAGACGTAGAGGATAGGATTTTATTGCAAATAAATAGAAAGCAGTTCGGTTTGGCTTATTTGTTGTTAATGGAAGTATACACTGGCACAGTTTGTGTATGTGTGGAGAGGGAGGAGGTAGTCTGGCAACAGCTATCAATGCTAAAGATACAGATGTTATTTTTTCCAGCAATTTAACTTCTAGGAATTTATCCCACAGGTAATACTTGTAGAAACAGACAATTGCAGTATTGTTGCAACAGCATAAAACTGGAAACAAAGTGCTCATCCATAGAGGAGTAGTCTTTGAAAAGAAGGTACAGAAAGTATATATAGTGTAATCTTATTTGAGGATAGCATGGGTACATGGACAGACAGAATGTTTCTGGAAGAAGAACCAAGAAACTGTTGACAGTGGTTTCACTCTGATGAAGGGGATGGTATGGGAAATGTTCACTTGTTTTGTTTTCCTTCTTCCGAGGACTTTAAAAATAGAGAAAAGAGGGGCTGGCCCCATGGCACAGTGATTAAGTTCACGCACTCTGCTTTGGCAGCCTGGGATTCATGCATTTGGATCCCAGGCGAGGACCTACACCACTCATCAATTCATGCTGTGCTGGCGACCCACATACAAAATAGAGGAAGATTGGCAAGAGGTGTTAGCGCAGGGCCAATCTTCCTCACCAAAAAAAAAAAAAAAAACCAACAAAAAAGAAAACTGTATTTTTAAAGACCTTTAGAGCTTAAAATTCACACTTTTGGGTTCCTTCCAGTATTTGATGCTGCTTCTACATAACTAATTTTGATTTCAGAGGTAGGAGGGTGGAGGCGAGGTGAGAAGATGAAATAAATTTTTGTCATCTAAGCAATAAACAAATTATGGGTTGGTCTTTTTTTAAATTTTTAATCTTTATTTAATCTTTATTTACTGCTCTTTGGGGGATTTCTTGAGGCAAATGTTCATAAAAATAAGCATTCATAACTCTTTACATATCCAAAGTTAAAATGAATTGGCAAGTGAGTAATGCCTTTCATAAATTATTTTCTTTATTTAAAAAAGTTATTAAATAAAAATAACATTGAGGAGTGAATAGGACAGGAATTTTCAATAGGCAAGATCACCAACTTGACCTTACATTTTTGTAAAGTTTGGCTGCAAATTTATGGTTTTTGAAGGACTTGACAACTAAATGAGAAGTTTTCATTAGTAAGATATCATAGCAAAAGTAAGCTGTTTTCTGATAATTTTATGACTCCTATCTAATATGTGTTATTGAGTAGAACGACACAAGAATTCCTTAATTAAGATGCATAAGTAAACCATGTTTTCACTTTTAGACGGCACAAGTACATCATGGCTGATAGTTATTTTCCTGCCATTTAGGGAATCTGTCAAACTATCTTTCTACATTAGTGGACTTAATGTTATCAGTTTATTGAAGCAAGATTTCAGTGCTAGCTTTCATCTTTTATCTTGGAAACTTAAATTTTAAGGTAAAACTGTTATTTAATGTTTTTTCCTTTATGATTTTAGAAAATTGCTTCTAATTTGTAAGGAATAGAAGGGAAATAGTAAGTGAACGATGGACGTGTTTCACTAAAGGAAGGAAATTCAGGTTGTTGTAGGTTCAGTTGCCATTTAAAAAAAAAAACCCCTGTTGTTCAAACCACTTGTTAAATTTTCTTCAGGGAAATTTTTTCATGTTTTTCAAATAATGGTTTTTTTTTTTTGTATTCTGAAGTGTTTTCCTGTTTAGTGGCAGTGATTCTTTTTTTTAAGGTATGGACTGCGAGAGTTCGTGGTGATTGCCCCTGCTGCAAACAAGGATGTTGTTCTCAGTGAATCTAAATGCAATCTTCTTCTGAGTTCTGTGTCTATTGCTTTGGGAAACACTGGCTGGTAGGTGGGCATTTTGAAAAACCTGGACAATGAGTTAAAAACTATTTTTAATTGTAATTTATGAAGGAAAATGGTTAATGATAGGTTTTTGATTATAATTAGGATTAGTACTTGTATGTTATTATATTGGAATATGGTATATAAGGACAAACTCAACAAAACCTTATGGAGAGCGTTTCTAAAGGGAAACTTCTGAAATATTCAACAAACATTTGAAATGAAGAGTAAATTGTACTGTTTTTGTGCTTTGCTTCCAAATGCTTAGTTTATTTAAATTCTGTTACAAAATCTAATTTTAAAACTTGTAGACAGAGCACTGCCTTGTTCAACCTCAGCTGGGAACATGTGTGTTAGTTGAGTCAAATATTTTGCTGTTCTGCTCACGTCTGCAAATGACAGTGAAAGTGCTGCAAGTATTGATTTTGGGGTTACAAATAAATTTTAGAGAGTAGGCTAATTTGCAAATAGGGAAATCTGTGAATTATTGTGAGGATCGACTGTATCTTTAAATGATAAAGTAACAAATATTTCACCACTAATGTTGGTTTAATTTGTATTGTTTAATACCTGTGAATCAAGTTTTATTATGAGTTTGAAAAGGCTAATATGATAAGATTGCTTTCATTCAAGAACATTTTCATTTTGCTTTTTTATGACTTTCAGCCATTTTCAAACAATTTTCTGACTACAAAGGGCTGCTAGATGATAGTTTATTCAGTTTATTAGTATAAGGAGAAAAGGAACCAAGAGTGTCTTTGTTATAAATATAAGTCTGTGGAGTGTTCTTTGTTTAGTACTTTTAAATATTTGAGATTAAAATATAACAGTGGAAAACTTTGAGATTTAGGAGTTATTCCGTGTTTACTGAACTTACAGTCTATCCCTGTTTAATTATGTCCTACAGCCAGGTACCACTCTTTGTGCAAATTCATCACAAATGGCGAAGAATGTATGTGGGAGAATGTCAGGGTCCTGGTGTCCGAACTGATTTTGAAATGGTTCATCTTCGAAAAGTGCCAAATCAGTACACTCATTTATCAGGTCTGCTGGATATCTTCAAATCAAAGATTGTGAGTTCGCATTGATATTGTCAGTCTTATCTGGGATCCAGATAAAAATAGCAATTTGGTAATTTTATTGAGTATGTAGAAACATTTTTCTATAATATTGGTAATGTAATTACTTGGAAGAAAGATGTAATTGACTACATAAATTACTATGTATGTTTAAAGAAACAAAGTATCCAATTAGATTTTTAGTGTACTAATACTAAAGAGTAAACTAATTTTGTTTGTTTAGTTTGTCAACATTTGTCTACTGTGTTCTCTCTTTCTACTCTTTCTCCACTAATAGTAATATTAGTAATTACTAATAGTGCCAACTTCCCCAGGTGAGTGGGCTTCAGGTAGCTGCTTGTTTGGGGCTTTGACTATGAGCTCCTTGAGGTCCGAACTCTTGGGATTCTGAGTTGCCTTTCCTTTTGTTGCAAATCTTCATTTGATTTGATTTTTAAGATTGATCTGGCTTATATTCGGTGACTAAGAGCAGTAAGGCTAAATGAGATGCTCAATATATCCTTGATGTTCTATATCACAGAGATAGGGAGGACTTGCCTGTGCTACTCGGGGAAAAATTAGGGTTTAAGTTGAGGAGCTCTTTGTTTTTTTGTTTTTTTTTTGTAAGGAAGGTCAGCCCTGAGCTAACATCCATGCCAATCCTCCTCTTTTTGCTGAGGAAGACTGGCCCTGAGCTAACATCCGTGCCGCCACAGCATGGCCTGACAAGTGGTGTGTCAGTATGCGCCCGGGAGCTGAACCCGGGTCGCCAGCAGCAGAGTGTGCACACTTAACCGCTACGCCACGGGGCCAGCCCGAGGAGCTCTTTGTGAATATCTCTAGAAAAGAGAGCAAAGCCAGATAAGCAAGTGGTGGAGCAGATCCCCTACTTAGAGAAATAATCCCCTTGAATGCTTAAGTTGACTCGCATCTCACTGAAGTGATCAAACTTGATTAACAAACTGATATCAGGTATCTCCTGGTATGATACATTGAATAGGATATATCATCACCTGTGTTGCCATTCCTGCCAGAAATGTTTAACATAAATCAAAACATGAGGAAACAATTACATATTTCCAAAATGAGCCATATTTTGCAAAGTAACTGGCCTAGATTCTTCAAAAATGTCAGTATCATGTGAGGCAAAACAAAGATTGGGAGCTGTTTAGATTAAAGGAGGCTAAAGTGACATAACAGCTAAATGCAATATGTGATCCTTGATTGGATCCTTGATCAAAACAAAATAGCCATAAAGGACATGGTTGGGACAATTTTAATATGGACTATATTAGAAAGTAGTATCAATGTTAAATTTCTTGAATATGATAATTGTTTTATGGTTGCATAAGATAATGTACTTGTTCCTAGGTGTTACATGCTCAAGTATTTAGGGGTGAATTGTCATGATGCCTACAACTTACTTTCAAAAGGTTCATCCAAAAAAAATGTATTCATATATATATGATGTGTGTGTGTGTGTGTATCAAAATGTTAATAATTGGTGAACTTGGTGTTCACCATGGGTGTTCGTTATACTAGTTTTGCAACCTTTCCAAAGGTTTGCAGATTTTAAAAAGGAAAAAAAATATGAGAAAAAAATGCTGAAATTTCTTTTTCTTTTCTTTTTTTTTTGGTGAAGAAGATTGGACCTGAGCTAACATCTGTTGCCAATCTTTCCCTTTTTGCTTGAGGAAGATTGTCACTGAGCTAACATCTGTGCCAATCTTCCTCTGTTTTATATGTGGGACGCCACCACAGCATGGCTTGATGAGCAGTGTGTAGGTCCATGCCTAGGATCTGAACCTGCGAACCCCAGGCCACTGAAGTGGAGCACGCAAACTTAACCGCTACACCACCAGGCTGGCCCCTGAAATTTCTTTTTTAATGGATATTGCTTGTTAGAAAGAGATTTAGGATTAGAACTTAATTTCTTCTTCTTTTTTTTTTTTTAATTTTTTGTTTATTGCAGTAACATTGGTTTATAACATTGTATAAATTTCAGGTGTACATCATTATACTTCTGTTTCTGCATAGATTACATCATGTTCACCACCCAAATACTAATTACAATCCATCACCACACACGTGTGCCTAATTATCCTTTTCGCCCTCCTCCCTCCCCCTTCCCCCTTCCCCCCTTCCCCTCTGGTAACCACCAATCCAGTCTCTGTCTCTATGTATTTGTTTGCTGTTGTTATTATCTACTACTTAATGAGGGAGATCATATGGTATTTGACCTTCTCCTTCTGACTTATTTCACTTTGCATAATACCCTCAGTGTCCATCCATGTTGTCACAAATGGCTGAATTTCATCGTTTCTTATGGCTAAGTAGTATTCCATTGTGTATATATACCACATCTTCTTTATCCATTTGTCCCTTGATGGGCACTTAGGTTGCTTCCAAGTCTTGGCTATTGTGAATAACGCAGCAATGAACACAGGGGTACATTATCTTTACACATTGGTGTTTTCAAGTTCTTTGGATAAATACCCAGCAGTGGAATAGCTGGATCATGTGGTAGTTTTATCCTTAATTTTTTGAGGAATCTCCATACTGTTTTCCATAGTGGCTGCACCAGTTTGCACTCCCACCAGCAGTGTATGAGAGTAGAACTTAATTTCTTAAAAATATGTTTTCAGTGTTGAGGGCCTAAAACGGGTAGTGGTAGGATTATCACCACCCACATAAAATCCATTTGACATTAAAAAAAAGTAATGCATGTACCAGGTTAAGAAATTTAAGTACAGTAAAAGCTTCCTTTTACCCATCTGTTCTTCTCCTCAAAATAACTATTGTTAGCAATTTCTTTTGATTATCTCCATTAAAAAATCATAAAAGCATATATTTTAGAGAGTTCCATGCGTGTATGTAACTTTTTTCCAGAAACTTTCTGGGCTTTGAAATGCCTTAAGTACTGCTTCATTCTACATGTGGTGTTTTGAAAAATTTTTGGAAAAGACAAGTGTGTGTTGATTTCTGCCCTGTTAGTTTTCCTTTGCTCTCACCAGAAGTCTTTGATTATATTTAATTTTTTTAGATCAAATTTCTGGTCAGATGCAAATATGAATATTTTATTTTTTCTTCTTAAAGAACTTTAGCATTATTTTTATAGATCTTTTATGTCACTTGTTTATGTAGCTCAGCTTCTCTTTACTGAAACTAGGGAGCACCTTGATCTGTGGAGCCTGACTTAGATTATGACTGTTTGCTAGTTGTACTTTAAAAAAAAAAAGTGTTCATCATATCGTCTGTCAGAACTTTCACAAAACTCACTCATCTAGATATGAAACATCTCTCAAAATTGATTCACTAAGAGTTGAACTTAGACTAATTGAGACCTGGTTTGTGGACTAATTTAGACCTGGTTTGTGTACTTTAGAGGTTTTTACATAGTTAAAGCTACCTAATATGTGACTCTCCTGTTACTTTTTAAAGATATCTTTATAAAAATTACTCTTTAATATCTACTTGAAGTGTTCCGGGGCATTCACCCTTCACTGGCAGTTTATTTTATTTTCATATACATCAGATTATTAGAAAAGCCTTCCTTTTTGGGAGGAGGGAGGAGCAGTTGTGCCCTTTGGAGTCACATAAAATTTAAGTTTAAATCCTCTTCTGCCATAATCCTCTAAATATTTGAAAACTTTCTCACACCGTAGTCTTGTCTTTTTCCATTTAGACATTCTTCATTCTTTCAGATGTTCTTTATATGTTACGGTTTTACATTCTGGTTGTTGATTTGGATATTTGTCTCTTTTAGAATTACATTTCTTCATGTTTTGGGGAAATTTTGTTTACAGGCTCATTTTGTTTTGAAGGCTCTGTTTAAAATTGTTAACTTTCCTTCCCATCCTCTCTAGTGGTTTTATAATGTTGTGGTTGCTCCCTACCTGCAGAGTATTTCAGAAACAGGTCTTAAAATGGTGTTTGGAGCGTCTTGCTCTGTGGTGATATTGCAGGTATTGCATATCTATCTAGTCTTGGAATCAGTGGATTGCTTGATCAGGAGAAGGCTCCCCCCCTGCCCCTCAATAACTCTCCTCAGCCCTGTAGCTTCCAACAAAGCCACTGTACCAAGCAGGAGTGCCCTTCCCCAGTGTCTGCCTTAAGCAGAGAGTCTTGCAGTGCCCTCACTCAGGGCGGAGTACCTTTGGTTCCATTTAATGCAGTCTGTAACCCTAGACTGTCACTGCCTTCTTCCGCACCTGAAACTCAGCAGGTGTGTGCGTTGAGCTTCACTTAAGACTTTGGGTTTTCTGTATCTTTTCTAGGGCCCGCAAAGATATTTATATATGTTTGATCCTAGCTCTTTCTTTTTGGTTATCTCTTTCTGTATTCATCCATATTGCTATGTGACTGGAGCAGAGGTTATGTGTCAAAGCAACCTTCTTATGGTTTCTAGACCATTTGTACCTTATTATGGGTGAATGCTCATTCCATATCTAGACCTGACTAAAAACTTGATTATTCCTAACTGGCTAGAATTTTACCTTGCTTGTCTGGGACACAGCAGCCCAAAACTGAATTATCTTCTTTTTGGCAGTCAGCTTACATTGTGACTTTAGATTGAGTTTGTATTGAGTTAAAGCTACTAGTGACATTTATAAATGCTGCTGCTGAGCTAAATGTCTCATACCTTCTGATCAGAATATCAGCAACACCTGGAAACTGGTTAGATATGCAGAATACTATTAAATCTACATTTCACAAGCTCCCTAGGTGATTCTTATGCATATTTAAGTCCTATTCCACATTAATGTAGGTTAACCATTTTTAAGGAAAGCTGAGATCATAGGATTTTTGGATGATATTAATTTTTATGATTTTTAATGACTATAAAAATAAATCTAAATTTTTTAACTGATTTATTAATATAAACTATCTTGCATGAGTGACCATTTGTCTTAGTCTAAAATTCTGGTTAAACATTCAAGACTGGCTTTAATTTGAGTTCATTTCATGTAAAAGAGAGAAAAGACATTATCTCCCCAAACCTACTCTTATACTTTTATAATAGTTTTACCGTATTTAAAAAATGAATCACATTTTTCTCACATTTAGTATGGCTGAAGAGAATAGTAAGAAATTATATTTGTATAACTAAAATTGTATAAGATATTTTGAGAGAGCATTTTGCTTAATAGAATTTAATATCTTGTTTCCAGGTAGCGGTTTAAACAGCTTTATTTTAATGTAATTTGCTCCTTGGCATTGTTTTTAAAACACTTTTTTTAAAGCTACACAATTATTGTCTTTGCATTTATTTCCTAGGGATGTCCTTTAACTCCATTGCCTCCAGTTAGTATTGCTATTCGATTTACCTATGTACTTCAGGATTGGCAGCAGTATTTTTGGCCTCAGCAGCCTCCAGGTGAGATAATTTAGAACTATATTTAACTTACTGAATATAAATGGAAAAGAAAATATGTTCAGAAATTAAAAATGTTTAATAGTGCATTTCAAGTGTTTCAAATTTGAAATATTTGTAATTCATTCTAAATGTAATATTGCTGATTTCATTGCCTTTATCATGTTTTTCTTCTTAAAAAAAACTCTGTAGGTTGTTCTAGAGCCAGTAATTACTCTGTATTTGATGATCTGTCTTTGAAAGCTAATATTTATAAAGCATCTCCCTGCTGTGGAACATCATGTGCTGTGAATTCGTGTGTAGTGAATGATTAAAATGTCTGTTTTTATTTATTTATTTTGTGAGGAAGATCAGCCCTGAGCTAACATCCGTCACCAATACTCCTCTTTTTGCTGAGGAAGACTGGACCTGGGCTAACATCCGTGCCCATCTTCCTCCACTTTATATGGGACACTGCCACAGCATGGCTTGATTAGCGGTACGTTGGTGCACATCCGGGATCCGAACCCGGGCCGCCACAGCAGAGCATGCACACTTAACTGCTACGCCACTGGGCCCGGCCCCAAAATGTCTGTTTTTAGAATATAAGAGAAGCCACTCTCGTAAATTGAGAACAGACATGCAGAGAATCTTATAGAGAGTAGAGTTTGAAGAAGAGTGCTAAATAAGGAAAGCAGAAAAGAAAAAAATCTGTATGTACACATATACTTAATGATGGGAAGAGTTGTAGAATATTTTACTTTAACTTGTATTTGATAAAAATGTAATTAAAATCAATTTACCTGCTTAGCCATTGATACATTGATTCATTTAACAATCATTAATTATTAGCCTATTATAGGCCAGGCTGTGTCAGGGACACAGATGTGAACAAGACATTACCTAAGGTCTAGGAAAGCTCAGCCTGGTGGACATACAGCCTAATTTAGTGAGGTTTTGGTTCCTGGGTGTTTCTCTCACAAGTGTAATTATATTCGAGTATGTCTAATCAGAAATTTAATTTAAACTTATAAGTAATTACAAAGATTTTACTAGCCTGAAAACATTTTTCAGTTTACCTTGCTCAAAGAGAAATAAATTAGAATAAAATAATATTGTTTGCTGTTTATTTTTGTTCTGCGTAGTTGGTTATTTATAGGATTACAAATAATAAACTGGTAGTCTTGGGATGATATTTAAATTAGCGTAGTACAGGGGCCGGCCCCGTGGCTTAGTGGTTGGGTGCGCGTGCTCCGCTGCTGGCGGCCCGGGTTTGGATCCCGGGCGCGCACCGACATACCACTTGTCCAGCCATGCTGAGGTGGCATCCCACATACAGCAACTAGAAAGATGTGCAACTATGACATACAACTATCTACTGGGGCTTTGGGGAGAAAAAGGGAAAAAAAAAGGAGGAGGATTGGCAATAGATGTTGGCTCAGGGCCGGTCTTCCTCAGCAAAAAGAGGAGGATTGGCATGGATGTTAGCTCAGGGCTGATCTTCCTCACAACACAAAAAAAATTAGTGTAGTACATCCTTAGTTTTTGGTGGTTATATATACTACTACTATTTTATTTTATGTATCACTGAATAATTTGAAACTCTAATGTATAGTAAAAGAACTGCATCTAAACTACAGCAAAGGGAAGTAAAAGCTAAGCTGAGATTTATGTTAGAAGAAAGACTCAAATATTTTCGTAATTTTAGTTCCCAGACAACAGTACCCCCTAGACAATATTTAGTCGACTTCTAGTTAGAAGTTTTGATTCCTATCTTCCTTTTCCTTTTTTTAAAGGCCACACTATTATTAGTCAATTTACAGGTTTCCCAAGATGGTGTGGTGGTTGATCTAAGAAGCAGCCCAGGAGCCAGAATCTCAGCATTATAATTTTGATTGCCAATAAGGCCTTTGTCAATGTTCTATTGGCAAATTTTTTTTAATAGGGATCAAAATATTAGCCTTCTTCCTCAGTGGATTGAAGGCTATATAAATTTTTAATATTTGGGATTAAACATGTAATATGGGCCAGACACTGTGCTTAGCATTATTTATATTATTTCATGTAATTTTCATTGACCTATGAGACAGGTATTATTAACCCTCTTGGAGAACGTAAGTATCTTAGAAGACAGGTAACTGGCCCAAGGTCACATGGTCACCAAGTGATAAAGTTCACATTCAGATACTGGTCAAACTCCAAATCCCATGGTCTTTTCATTCCACGATGTTGCTTCTCAACTTTTAATTCAGTTAAATTAAATTAAAAGTACAGCTATAGTCTGATAATAATTAACTTACTAATTTACAAAATGCGCTTATTAAAAATTTTGAAGCTCTTAAATATTCATCTCTTGTAATAAAGCTAGTCATTGTAATCTTTATTATTGTAAGCATTCTTTAGTTAGAAAAATGGAATGAATTGACTTGAGAAAATTTACTGAATTAAGTAATTGAGCCATATTTAAAGACTAATTTTAATAATTTAGTTAGAGTGTAGATAATTGTCAAACATGATTTTAGCAAACCTGGGGAGTGTTCATAACTCGGCAGTAGACTTTAATTTTAGGAATTCCCAGTGTAGTGTGAATAATTAAAAACGAGCGTACGTATTATTTCGAAGAGAAATAAATCCTTTTGATGTCTTTTAGACATGTTTATTATTTCTTCAAGAGAGATAGAACTAAGGGGAATGATTTACCCTTTAAATTTTCCTCTAATGTCGGATACCATTCATAATGGAAAGGAAATACTTTGCTAAACTTTAAATATTTCCGTGTATTATCAACTGAAATATAATTTTATTAATGGTTTGCTATTCAGCAAAACTGATGAATGTAGATTGGTGATTAAATTTTTCAATACTTGGATAATCTTTCTTTTAGATGATGATCAAATTCTTAGAAAATGCAAAAAAGTTTACAGAAATAATGTTCTCTTGAGTAATATTTAAGGACTGTTTCAGAAGGGTAAAATTTAGAATGCATAGCTTAAATAGGATAAATGGATAAATAGGAATTAAGTATATCCTTTTACTATAACATTCTTGGAAGAAGTCTTTAATACCTGGCGGCTCACTCTCTGAACTTGTTATACGTGCTCTTGATGTAGGCACTTTTAAATCTATAATCTCCCAAAGGACTAACCTAACTAGATTAAATTCTTATTTCTCCTTATTTTCTCTTATTTGCTAAATAATGGAAAAATATTTCTTTGTTTAGATATAGATGCTCTTGTAGGAGGAGAAGTTGGAGGCCTGGAGTTTGGCAAGTTACCATTTGGTGCCTGTGAAGATCCTATTAGGTGAAAATTTCAATTCATTTGAATTATGGGACTTTACTTTTTAAATTATATTGATACTGATTTTACTGTGCTTTATAATACTGTAGTCTCCTGGAATGAATATAGTACTGGAAACAGACCTACACCTAACAATCTATTTTTTTCTCTGTAACTTAAGAAATAAAAGAGGCTTTAAAATAATACAAAAATATATATAATACCATTTATTGATTATTCTTTATAGAAGTGATTCTTGGTCTACTTTTTTGGGAAACACTTTAAATATATTGAAAAGCACAGAGAATGTCATATAAACTTTCGTGTATCCGTCACCCAGAATTAACAGTCGTTTATCTTTTTCCTGACCACTTTTTCAAAATGTACAAATTAGGACTTCAGTAGGAGACACAAGGGTGACCTCTTAGGTTAGCCAGTTGCTTTTTTAGAAGAGCTGCTGAACTTTAACAAAAAGCTGTTTCACAAGAAAATGTAGGGGTTGGAAAATTTAATCACTGATAGCAAAATATTTGGAAAATATAAACAGTGCTGATTTAGAAACTATCTCATTTGTTTATTTAAACTATTTGGCTAATTAAAAAATACATACACATGCATATATACATTCTTAATACCCTCACATAGAGGTAGAAATAATAACACTTAAAATCACTTGAGAGAAGGGGCTGGCCTGATGGTATAGTGGTTAAGTTTGTGCACTCTGCTTCAACGGCCTGGGGTTTGCAGGTTCAGATCCTGGGCATGGACCTAAGCACTGCTTATCAAGCCATGCTGTGGCAGGCATCCCACATATAAAATGGAGGAAGATGGGCACAGATGTTAGCCCAGGGCCAATCTTCCTCGGCAAAAAGGGGAGGATTGGCAACAGATGTTAGCTCAGGGCTACTCTGTCTCAC